TTTACCATCATGAGACCAAGAGACAAAAGGTCCAATGAAAGCACACTGTCTCCTTTAGACCCAATAAAGACAGACAGCGCAGGTCCCCTGGGAAGCTCAAATTAATCCCTTACTTAGAACAAAAAGGCAAAAACTTCATAACCTGGGTCCCCTACACGGCCAGATTGTCAACAAGGAATGATTCGTGAAGGTTGTGAGGGAGTTGAGAAAGAGATTTCGCCGCAAAAGGTCGGAACTCTTCAACTCTGGCCAGGGGCTCCTGCACCAGGGCAGCGCACACACCCACAAGTCCACCATGGAGACGAACTATCTGACACAGATGTGCGTCAAAACCGTCCGTATCCCTTCCCACAGTCCTGATCTGGCCCCCTGGCTTCTGGATGTTCCCCAGACTGACAGGGAAGCTCAGGGGCCGTCTTTCGGAGGATGTGGAGGAGATGAGTGAGGCTGTGACAGAGGCCCTGGGCACCTTCACTTTGAAGGCCTATCAGCAGGCCTTCAGGCAGTGACAGGAGCGCTAAAGCAGGTGCATTGGACTCGGGAAGTTCCATTTCGAGAGTCATACAAGTTTCATGCTTCTCTGAAACAGACAACTGTCTCTACTGAAAAAGTCTGAAAACTTCTGGAGTGCACCACGTATATGTATGGAAAGCTCCGTGCTGCCGATAGTGGGCCCGCTCTGCTGACGCTGCTGATAGTGGGCCCGCTGACGGCTGACGCCGCCGATGCTCGGCCCGCTCTGCTGACGTTGCCGCCCCGGCGTGTGTTCCCAGCGCACCACGCTGCTGGCCCACTCGGCTGGCTCGCACGTAGCCGTCAGCTACCTGGAGGGCTTCTGCGAGCAGGAGACCAGCGTCAAAAGCCTCATCCTGATGAGCCCCGTGGACGGCTTCGATCCGTTCGGCATCGTGGACGAGTTCTGCATCGTGCCTGGTCAGCGAGTCAACTTCACACTGCCGGCGCTAGTGCTCACCGCCGGACTGGACGCCGAAAAAGGTCAGCGAACGAACCCAGAGCCGGCTGCAGGTGGGGGGGGGGGGGGGGGGGAGAGCGAGAGAGAGAGAGAGAGAGGGGGGAGGGTCGTGTCGAGTTTACTGATGCAATGGACGCAATAGAGATGAATGGACGACAAGACTGTTTTTAGCACTGCTGGACTTTTACGGAGGGAAAGATGGTTTTACCGCTCGCGTATTCTCCAAGTGTGTTACACGAGTATCCCGACCAACTAGCGCCATCTCTCGGGTGACGTCACAATGATGTCACATGCTGAACTGTATGATACAAGCAGAAGGGCTTTAGCCCCCAAAATCCCCGCCCAGGATCCGCCCCTGCTATGACGTCACCCGAGAGGCCACGCTTTTGATCGGGATACTCGTGTTATACACTGATCGGAATACGCTACCCGTTCCGGGCCGGTGCTGGACGCGACCTGGCCGCGGGGTTTTAAACACCTCCCCCCACTCCTAACTCGGCTCCTGTGCCTCCTTACCGAAGGTTTGTGGTCAGAAAGTAAAACACTTTTGTTAGAATTGTATTTTTCTAGTGAAAAACAAACTTGAGTTCTCTGACAATGTCGGTGGCACACGGGAAGCGGCATTCGAAAGGGCACGGCTCGCTGTGTAGTTGTAAGTACTTAGAGTGCTCTGATCCTCAGGCTCTCTGCTGAATCCTGGGGCTCTGATGCTCAGGCTCTCTGCTGAGCCCTGGGGCTCTGATCCTCAGGCTCGCTGCTGTACCCGGCCCGGCTGAACCCTGGGGCTCTGATCCTCAGGCTCGCTGCTGTACCCGGCCTGCGCTCCTGCCGACCTGAGTAACGACCGCTTCTACAACGCCTTCTACGCCCCGCGCTGGCAGATCAACGCCACCCAGTACGGGCACGGCGACTTTCTGGACGACGAGTTCTGGGCGCTCATCAAGGTGGGGAGCCGCACACAGAGAGTTAGGTGGGGAGCCGCACACAGAGTTAGGCGGGGAGCCGCACACAGAGTTAGGTGGGGAGCCGCACACAGAGTTAGCTGGGGAGCCCCACACAGAGTTAGGCGGGGAGCTGCATACAGCGTTAGGTGGGGAGTCGCACAGATAGTTAGGTGCAGGGAGCCGCACACAAAGTTAAGTGGGGAGCAGCACAGAGGACGTTAAACAGTGCTGCCTTCTTCATATGCACTACCAGCTAAAGGTCCACAAAGATACTTGAATCTAGTACTGTTGCTGCATCCCATGAGATAAAGAACCGAATCAATGTTCCTTTTGATGCCGTAAAAGCGCTGGGATGCCATTCTTATGTCTATGTGACTGGTGACGGACCGATGACGTGGCTCAGGACACCAAATTCTGCGCCTTCTGTTCGGAGGAGGACTGCGCTAACCGCGCCGGCTACCGCGACTACCAGGCCGGCCAGATCGTCTCCTTCGCGATGGGTGAGTTTATGTCTGTCCGTCTGCTTGTTTTTGGAATTGCTGTTTTGCATGAGTCAGCCTGAGCTGTGTCAGCCTGGTGGGTCAGCCTCAGTGTAAACTCATCGATATGCTATTCTTGATTATCAGTGGGGATGGTAGCTTTCTAAAAGAATCTCTTTCAACCGGGTTTCACCGGTGGTTTATTAGAATGCCAGGAAAAAATATTGAACTAAGCCCATCTAGCAATCTTAAGTTCAATAGCTTACAATCTAGACATCAGAGATGTATTGAGTAGTTTGATAAATGCAAACAACTGCAATCCGCTACAATGGCAGCAAATGCAATCATTTGACTCAATTGATACTGCTAGAAACAGGCTGCTAGAAAGATCTATTGGTACCTACCTTGACGGAGCGAGGACTAGTTGATTCGAAATAGATACATACATAGACTGTGACATTTCTCCTCTAAAGTCGGTGGACGTGGCTGCCCTCCCAGTTGAGTGTGTCTCTCCTCTGTGGCTGTGTACCCTGTGCACTGCCGCGGTGTCTGCTGTGATTGCCAGCCTCGACGGACCCGGCCGGCCACTGCGACCAGCTGCAGTACATCGAAGACCCGGCGCTGATGCCCGTGGCCACCGTTATCAGAAACAACCGGCCCGCCGACGTGTGCAGCCGGTTCATGGCCGGCTGCGCCCGGCCCTAGGCGGACTGACCAGCGGCCGCGCCCGGCCCTAGGCGGACTGACCAGTGCAGAGGCCGAGGGCGGCCCTAGGCGGACTGTCCAGTTCTGCGCCCGGCCCTAGGCGGACTGTCCAGTGCAGAGGCCGAGGGCGGCCCTAGGCGGACTGTCCAGTGCAGAGGCCGAGGGCGGCCCTAGGCGGACTGTCCAGTTCTGCGCCCGGCCCTAGGCGGACTGTCCAGTTCTGCGCCCGGCCCTAGGCGGACTGTCCAGTGCAGAGGCCGAGGGCGGCCCTAGGCGGACTGTCCAGTGCAGAGGCCGAGGGCGGCCCTAGGCGGACTGTCCAGTTCTGCGCCCGGCCCTAGGCGGACTGTCCAGTGCAGAGGCCGAGGGCGGCCCTAGGCGGACTGACCAGTGCAGAGGCCGAGGGCGGCCCTAGGCGGACTGTCCAGTTCTGCGCCCGGCCCTAGGCGGACTGTCCAGTGCAGAGGCCGAGGGCGGCCCTAGGCGGACTGTCCAGTGCAGAGGCCGAGGGCGGCCCTAGGCGGACTGACCAGCGGCCGCGCCCGGCCCTAGGCGGACTGTCCAGTTCTGCGCCCGGCCCTAGGCGGACTGTCCAGTGCAGAGGCCGAGGGCGGCCTGTGTAACCGTGCCACGCTGTCCAGGCCCTAGGCGGCCCGTGCAGCGGCTACAGGGCGGCCAGACCGTGTCGGCCCCTAGCGATGTTTAACGCGTTATCACTGAATGAAAACAGAAGGGCTCCGTGCGAGCCGAAAGGTCGCCGTTATATATGACTTGTTGCCAAGTGTGTCTAGCATATTGCCCGAGTGCAGTTTCGTTTTCAGCGTTACCATGTGTGAGGAACTGGAAGATAACGAGCGGTCGTCAGTGCGTTTCCCCATTGCATCATAGGGCGTCTCTTGGTGACCATGTCTTCACGGTTGGGGTGGTTGGCCCGTGCAGTTCGGCTGGTTCGCCGGTGGTGGTGGAACTCGGCCGGATAGTGACGGTAGCGCGTCACTTCCGTCACCTGTGCAGTCACGTGGCGGCCGTATGTCAGGTGGCTGGCGCCGCGGTGTGGGTGGGGTGTGTGGCGCCTCCCGCACGGTGTCGGCCCGACCCCAGCTGGCCGGATCCCAGGGCCGGTAGCTGCTCTGGGCCGACTGGCGCGTGCCCCCACCCCTGGGGAGGGGAGGGGCAGCGTGGACAGCCAGGGTGTGGCTGAGAAAACCGGCACTGCACTGCTGCTGAGTGCTGAGAGTGTGGACATGTGTCACGCGGTGAGCTGTGACACATGTCACAGTTTGTGATATGGCATTTAAGGATAAACTTAATAAAAAATGACGATGCGCGGTGTTGTTTGTGCAACATGAATGCACACATTGCACAACCAATTAAAACGATTGTAGATCGATATGATGGGTGGATGTGTATGGGGACGGATAGTAGGTGGGGACTGCCACTGCCACTGGTACAGCACTGGAGCCGGCTGGTGCAGGTCTGTACGGGACAGGCCAGTCCTGAACTAGGACGGAGCGAGTGCGAACATTACAGACTCCCCCTGCAGCAGCGGCGGGTGCACACTGCACAGCGGCGCGCCAGCCGGCGGCAATGCCGGGCTGCTGACCCCACCGGGCGCCGCTCAGAGGGCCCGCGCTCCCCGGCCCGGCCGCGGCCGGCGCGGCGTGCGGCGGTCGCTCACTCCCTGTGGCTCCTCCGCTCAGTCCTACCAGTCCTCGCTCAGCCTGGCACACTCTCTCAATCCTAGTTCGACATTCACATGTCCAAGCGGGCTCGAACATTTAGGACAGTGCAGCATCATGCCTACTACTCAGTTGCTCGGTGCTGTATTGATCAGGTGTTTCCTGTTCAGATGCTTACAGTCGCGGCTTCAGATAAAAATATCCAGTTTTAGAGACATACTTTTTGTGCATATGTATTTTCTACACAAACCAGTCGCTTTAAACTATATAGGTATGTACCAGTTTTTGTCTGAGTAATATGATCTTTGGCAAGCTAAACAACGACTGGCTCGATATGTGTACAACGGTGACACTTCAACAAAGTTCAACAAATAGCGCCCTACATACTATACCAGTTTGATTTAATGACCGAGCGTTTATGGGTGACATTGCACCTCGGGAACGCCTCCTTCTGACTAGTGAAATGTGTCCCGCCACGTCGCTCCAGGCAGTGGAGTGGCGCCGTCAGAGAACCGCCTGCTGCCGGGCCCGCCTCTTCACCTCGGCGTCAGCGTCGAGCACCAGACAGCGTTCTGGTGTCGGCTCGTTCCACGGCTGCCGGCTGGTGGAGCCCAGCGCGCAGAACACCGTGTTCCCCAGCGCCAACAGGCCGGCCGCCGTCAGGAACACCGTTCGCCAGTTGGCCAGCGACGGCTGACGGAAACAAACACGGTCACCAGCGCAGCGGAAACGGCTCCGCTGCAGAGGATCACGTGTGCTGTGCGCGAACCTTCCCGTGCCCAGCACCAGAGCCATCTAGCGGCGCTAGTTACCGTGACGTATTGCGGCACAGCATACCACCAGGCGCACCTCGTGCCGCCATCTATGAGTGAAAGCCACATCTATTGTGCATTACGAGGACAGTCGAAACATTCAGGCACACATAGGCGGCGGAACGGGGGTGGCAGCGGGGCACCGTGCCCCCCTTTGATTTGGGCATTTTAACATTAGCCCTATGGGCGTTGCATGGAAAGAATGGGACCAAAAGTCGGCAGTGCCCGCCCCCCCCCCTTAATTGAAGGTGTTCCGCCGCCACTGCAGGCACACCGTTGTTAAGAAGTCAAGTGTGAGGCTCAAATGCAGCACAATAGTACTTAGCCAAAAATAAAAAAAGCCAAATCGTCTAATATAAAGCCAAATCGTCTAACAACGTAGAGTTACCACCAAACACTTCTATTTAAAGAGGACAGAGACAATAACACAGGGTTAAAGGAAATTTTCAGAAAGATATAGGTATGAGGATCCTTTTGGTCATACTCACCAGTTTTTTTTGCGTGTGTAAAAAAGAAACGCGGCGCACAGCGCCCCGAAACTTGGTATAGCTTATAATACATCAATGGTGCATCGCGCGTACAAAAACATACTTCGATCAAATATCACTTAACTTCAAAAGAGTGACATCGCTGGTCTGACCCACCTTTGCTGCCGATCCGAGAGTGTTTGGACCTACAGAGCCCGATGTGCAGATTCGCTAGATCAGAAGCAACGCGCGTGGTATACGACTGCCCCTTGCCCACCTGTTGGTTGAGGACGTAGCCGGCCTGGAAGGGCGCCAGCACTCCGGCCAGCGTCGCCACGCAGTTGGTGATGCCCATCAGAGTGCCGGCGAAATTCGGCGCCAGGTCCATGTGGTTGATGTTGTACCCTGTAAAGATATCGATCGAGTGGCTGTCACATTACTTTATCTGTAACAAAAAAGGTAAGATAACTTCGTGCGAAACATTGATTCTTATCTTAGGGTTTGTGTGCAATTATATTTGTATTGTGTAACTGTACATAGTGGATATAACAAAAAGGCATACCGGTGTACAATGGTAAGCAGAGAAAACAGTGTTCGTTATTGTAAACACTGCGCCCGCTAGAGCTCTAACTAGGAGCGCAGTTAATTTTGACCTTTTAATGCCCTGTTGCATGACCATCGACTGCCATTTTATGCGAAGCTGACCAGTGCCCCAGCAGGTGCGCAGCTTAGCCCGCGCATGACTGGGAGAGGGGGGACTACACTTACAGAGCCCCCTTCCGTTTTTCTGCAATATCTATTATCTTCTAAACCGCTTGTCGCATCAACACGAAACTTGCAGTACCTTCAGCAGCATCAATTTGAAACTTTGAGTTCAACTAACAAATTTCTAGCTACTAATAGTCGGCCGAAAATGACGTCAGAGTGACTTCATGTCGGCTGATTTTGATGCAAAACAGCGACCTCAAAGGCTCAGTTGTTAAGGTAGATCCGAGTTCTTGGCATGACTGGACTGATAATACACGTGACTTTCAAACTGCCAGCTCGGATTTTCCAAATTCTGAACATTTTGGAAAATTTACACATACAGTACCAAAAAATATTTTTTGATTTTTTTTTTCTCAATTTTTCTGACTTTTCAAAAATCGGGATATAGTTATGTTACAGTAGGTACACCCTCTGATGAACTACTCTAGAAAGTTGTAGCCACTGAACTCTATAATGTGGAAGGCGCATCGGCCGCCAGATGGTGTCCAACGGTGCCGCCATGTTGCGCAGACCAGGAAGCGGCCGCCGCCTGTGTTGGGGAATATGGAATTCGGGACCTCGATTTACGTTTGCGGTCGCTGCATCCGTTACGTTCAAGCTATGTGGACACGGAACCCGGCATCTTACGCAGAATTGAGTGGAGAACAAGATGAAATCCTAAAAAATCCTCAGCTACAAGAAACTAATACGTTAAACCCTTATAAGTCAATGGGGAAATATGAAAATTGCTATTTTGGCGTCAAGAATGATCTGAAACTATCTCAAGCATATAGAATCATGATTTCATGCACTCTTTGCAAGGTTCTATGCTTCATATTTGCATCGTTGCCCTTGCGTGACGTCATTTGTGACGTCACAAGGGTAACAATTTTTCTTCAATAACTCCCGATCAAATTGAGCTAGCGAGTCGGGAAAGCCACCAATGGACTCAGGAAGACCTGCCGAATCGAATGATATGCGACATGACCTCTTTCGACCAACTTCGTAACCTGGGGGTGTTGACCTGACCTTGACCTGAGGTCAACGCCCTAAGTTGACCTGACCCGAACAAAAGTATATCACTCGATGCGCCTGAGCTAACTGAACACGATGATGCCAAAATCGCGGCTCTACGGCCATTTTTGGCGAAGTTGTTTACCAAAAACCGAACCCGTGCCTTAGATCACTTGACCTGACGTCAGAGGTCACCGGTTGACCTGAGACCCTCACAGCGGGTTCCTACCAGTCACTCTGCATTATATTTTGCCGCATACGACCACTTAACCGCTTAATTTTAGTTTAATTAGCGGCGCATTAGCGAGGTGGGTTCAATCAACCCCCTCGGCCGGGACAAATGTAGGTCCGGCGAATTAATCAGCATTCACTTGATAGCACGTAATGTGACAGGCAAAATGTTAATGTAAGTCATTAGCACCCAGAGAAGCAATGGGCTTCGAAGTTTTCTTGGACGACTGGCCCAAGAGTATTCAAATCGGCACTCATATTTGCGAAAATATGAAGGCTTCAAAAGCAGTGCCGGTTCGTAGAGAGATATTCACAAAAACTGAATCATTTTATTTTCGAATTACATGACAGTAATCGCTCTGCCATTAGGGCCGACACTATTCACTTTAAAGCGACCCCAGAGGAAAAAGCCCAAGCGGCTGAGGTTGGGGAATTGGCCAGCCCATGGATGAGAGGTGGTGCGCCAACTATGGTGTTCCCCCAGCTGTCCCCACATGAGACCGGCTGACGTTGCTTCTGCACGTGGGGCGGCACCAGCGTGCTGCAGCCACCACATGGTATAACATATGTATGTAGATGTACACGTCGGTGTCGACGTGTTTCTGTCGGTAGCTCACAAGAGCAGGGGGCTGTCATCCCGAGCTTTCCTATGTGCCGGGCGCCCGACTGTTTAACATTATCCGTGACGTCACCGGGGCGTACACTTGTCAGCTGGCCTTCCCCGCAAGTTTGGCCCTGAATACGATTTTGAGGGTCACGGTTGTAAACAAGTTCCTTTCCGGAAACGTTCCGGAAACGCTGGAAACGTTGTGATCCTTTTACTTTCCGGAAATTGCTTCATTACAACTTTGCGCCTAAAATCACTTTAAAGGGACCCTCCCACCTTCAAAAAAGTTAATGAATTGGCACGAAAGTGGTGTCGCTCGGTTCAGAAAGAGCGAAAACGAATATCTACCAAATTTCATCGAAAAATATTCACCGGTTTTCAAGATATTAGACTTTTACTTTTGTTTACTTTTTTGGGATCTCCGCTGTTCCTAGCGACTTTATTTGAAAGTGCGGCATTTGTTGCGCGCAAAGCAGCATATACCACCGCGTGCTACCAAACGTTTTAGTAAAAGATTTAAAAATCGTTAAGTCCCCGCTGACGTCACAAATTCTAAGGGGGCATACCAATGCACTAGCCCCTTAGAATCCGAAAACTGCAAGTTTGAAATTCCATATCTCCGAATTAAAGCATTTGTCGATGTTGTGAGTGCCCAAACCGGTATTTGCAGGCCATGGCCACCAATTTGGCTATCTCAACTCAAAACTAATGTTAAAGGTAGTGTGCCAGCTTTCTTGGACCGTATGGAGTTAATGGCCCAGATAAGGAGAACCGGATTTTTAGAACTTATCCATACCTTCAAAACTCATGGAAACGTCTTAAATTCTTCAAATTTTGAGTACCCCAGTGCGAAATTCGCCCCGACGGGTTGTCGATCGTACACCAACCACATTTCACACCACTATGAACAATAAATGCACACACTGAAATCGCTATTACCGATATGCTCATCCAATCAAGTTTCGATAAACCCGTTCATCATCATCTCCTGCGGTTTCGAACACGCCTGTTAGGTGGCTTCTGATGCTCGTCGAGGTCGGAATTTCCAAATACGCGTGGTGCGTCGGGCCGCGCGCTCTGACTTCGGCCAAGAAAAATGCGTCAGCTGATCATTGTCATTTCTGCCACTTGCGTGTGGTGAAATGGGGTCATAACTTATAAGACGGCTTTTTCATATCAATTATTTTACATAAAATCATATTTCAAACCATAGATAATGTTCGACAGCCAAATAAAAGAAACAATACCAATACGGGCTTACAGTTTAAGGCTCGACATTGTGTTGTCTACGATTAGACAGCTGATAACTCATTCCCGTACGTCGTATGGTCGTAACTCTATAATGACCTTTGCTTATTGTCACATGTGCGCCGCATTCGCGATTGTTGTCCGACGCCTGTTTGCAGGCCAGCCCACTACAGTTGTTATACATATCTAAAAACCGAAAAACTTTTAGGCGAAAAAGGCACTATTCCAGGCCCATTTTTGATTTTTTTTGCGATATTAGGTAAAAACAGAAGCTTCTTATCCTAGGAAAAATAAAATGGGAAATCTTTCAAAGGTGGCACACTACCTTTAAGGTGGGAGTGTCCCTTTAACCCTCGCCGGCACAGGGAGTTGAGTTGATGCAATCCCCCTAAGGTTTTTCGCGAATAACTCGCGTAAAAAGCGGCTGATCGTGACGAAACTTTCAGTACCTTCGCATTGATCAATTGTACACCTACCCTGAAAATGTCATGACCCTGACCCAAATGACCTTTGACCTGTGACCTACTTTCCGAGACCATGTTTGGCCGGAATCGCGATTCGGCGTATGTCGGCTCGCATTAGCCGCGCGTTTGCAAGCTTTTCGTTGTTTCAAATGTTCAAACATGTGATTTGATGTTGCTCTTATGCATTAGGGTGGATGTCAAGGTCACCAAGGTCAGGTAAGGTCATTGACCTTTGGTGACCTCGGTTCACTTTTTCGAGTTCTACATGTTTCTAGGCTAGTTTTTGGAGCTGATTTCGAATTTAGTAACCATTTGAACATTTACGAAGTAGTTTTGGTGCCTTCGTAACATGTTACGAAGCTGTCAGAGGCGCGAGGGGGGTCGTACCAGCCCCCTGCCGTCGAATGACGCAAAATGGCCTGTGCCGGCGAGGGTTAAGCAAAGGCTACTTAACGCTTTCCTAATTGTAAAGTGTTGCATTGTCTGCATGGTGAGGAGAACGCTTACCGCTCAGAAGGGCGGTGTGTTGTGAGGAGGGCGCCGACAGGCCAGGAGGGCGCTGTACGATGAACGGCGACGCTGACTGGTCGGGAGGGCGATGCATGGTGATGAGGGCGCTATGCGTTGCAAAAGGCGCAGGCTGGTCAGGAGGGCGCTGAACGCGAAGATGTCGCCGACAGGCGAGGGCGCTGACAGGTCAGGATGGCACTGCACGGTGATAAGAGCTGCGACAGATCTGGAGAACGCTGTCCGTGAAGAGGGCGCGGACAAGGCAGCAGGGCGCTGTATGGCGGGGAGAGCGCCGACAGGTCAGGAGGGCGCCCATGGTGAGGAGGATGCTGTACGATGAGAAGGGCACTATACGAGTGAAGAGGGCGCTGACAGGTCAGGAGGACACTGTATAAAGAGGAGGGCGCGGACAAGGTGAGGAAGGCAATGTACGGTCAGGAGGGCGCCGACAGTTCAGGAGGGCCGTCTACGGTGAAAAGGACACCGACTTGTCGGGAGGGCGCTGAACGTAGCGGGAGCCGGTCTGGAGGGCTTTGTATGGTTAGGAGGCCGCTATACAGTTAGGAGGATGGCGACAGGTCAGG